CTACACAACAGACTGACCTTTGGTGTAAAGAGCAGCCCTTTTCTTTTTGGAACTGTCCTGGATTATCATCTGGGAAGATATCTGAATGATGTCTGGTACAATCAACATTAAGTTAAGATCCTTCTTTCGAGTTTCTATGTCGATAATTTAGTAATGAGCATAAATGATCCATATATTACCCTTTACTGAGATGCCTTAAGTTATGCTGAGTAAAGGAAAATTCAATTTGAGCAGTTGGCAATATACGAATGATAATTATCCTCAACCATTTAATTCTATGTTAGGACTTTCATGGGATAGAAAAAAAAAGATAAGCTGATGATAAATCTAGACTGTTTAGACAGCTATAAATTTGAAACTTCATTCAAAAGAATCATAAGGTATTCGATCCTGTTGGTTTATTATATCCTGTTTTGCTGATACTCAAAGTGTTGTTGCAAAGGATGTGGAAAGAAAACATACCACCAACACTTGACGCTAATAAAAAATAAAATTAAAAAAAAAAAAAAGATGAGCTAGTTCCAAACCTTTATTTGTTGAAAGAAATGACCACTTCACAGTGTTTTTTGATTGATCCAAGCAGACAAAACATTGCTCTGCATACATTTTGTAATGCCAGTAATTCAGCCTTTGCAGCAGCTGTTTTCATTTATGTGGAAACCTCTGGACAATACCAAGTTCATAAAGCCAGAGTAGCTTCTGTAAGACCCATTACTATACCCTTGATTGGAGCTGATGGCTGCTATTGTGGTAGTTCAAATGTGCACATCTGTTGTAGAAAAGCTTCAATGGAAAGATGCCAAACAAAATTATTGGACTGATTCCACGGCCATTTTAGGGTGGATTCAGCAGAAAGAATCTTGGAACGGTATTTGTGAACAACTGAAATAAATAGTTTAATGAATCCTCTTGCATGGAAATACCTTCCTGGAATACAGTTGATTTGTCTTTGCAGCGATGTTCTGCTAGACAACTGTTATCAAGTATATGGTGGGAGAGATCCACTTGGTTATTATAACTTCATCTAGCTGGCCTAACAAAGAACAATGTTTTGATGAATATTCTATATCCAAAGAAAAAATCTGATCAGCATTCTTCTATCTGTAAAACTGATGGAAAGAAAAATAATGAATGCTGACATAACAGATCAAGTTAGTACAATTATTATTTTTCAAGCTATGACAAAATGATGCAGTTGATTGCTTGGATAAGATGATTTATTTTTAATTTTCTAGATGTAAAGTCTATGCGAATCATTGGAGAGTTATCCGACAAAGAAGTAAAAAATGCAGAAAAGAAGGTCATATCATTAACATAAAATGAATATTTTTCTAATCATTTAAACAAAAGAAAATTAGAAACTTTGACAACACACAATGATGAAGGAGGAAGTATTAGACTGAAAACAAGAATTATATTTTGGAAGACTACAGAGAATGTTATACATCCAATTTTGTAACTGGCACAGCATCCGGCTGTCAAAAGGATAATTATTATAGAATACTAGGAGAACTCTCATGCTAGCTCTTGAAGGCTGTTGGGTATTCTAAGAGAACATTTTTGGATTTTAAATGTGAAGAAAGTAAATAAGATCTCTTTTATCCAAATGTGCTAGGTTTTTATGTTTATTGGTTTAAGATATACATAGAGAAAATTAATGCAGTACAAAGTCCAAGATCTGGACACCTAAAATCCGGACCTCAAAGCCACCAACCTTTTATTTTTGTATGCTTTACGCATGCGCCCAATAATAAAACATGTATAAAGTCCCGATTCTTAATTTCAATTTGACACTAAATAAAATACCTCATTATTGAAGAAAAAGTCATTTTAGCATAGATTTGTGTGATCAATAATTTGACTCTATAGTTGCATATCTGCTTGGCATACATCTCACTGAAACATTCTACACAGAAACATCACTGATTTTACACCTACAAATATTTCATATATCTGACGTAATTATAATAAGAAACTACACTCATGTCCATAAATTAAGGATAATTCGGAGTCACGCAGAAATTTAACTCTAAAATAAATATAACACCTGTAAAATCACTACACACATCTTCAATAATCATATGCAAATTTTAGGAAGTAACCAGATGACACCGATAGTACGTCACAATGACGAGAGTGTAAGAGAGTGATATATAAGGAATACAGGCGAAGAAGTAAAATTGTTCGCAGGCGCTTTATAAGCATTTCACTGCAATAACCGAATAGTTATGACACAAAGGACACATTTGGATGATTTCTTACGTGGTAGAATTATCGACCGTCTGGAATGTGGGCGTACCCCACCGAAAGTATCAGACGAACTTGGAATTGCCCAGAGTGACATCTCCAGGCTTTGGCAACGATTCCAAGATGATGGTAATGTGAGCAGACATTACAGCACAGGTCGACCCAGAGTTACAATGCCGAATGAGGACCGGTATTTGGTAGTTACTGCCAAAAGAAACAGGCGGAGCACAGCCACAGACCTGTCTCGTCAGCTCTCTTCAGCCACTGGTACGACAATTTCAAGGCAGACCGTGTACAGACGCTTAGGGCAGATTGGTCTATATGCTCGCAGACCTGTCAGATGCGTTCCACTTACTGCAACTTACTGTCGCCTGCGGTTAGCCTGAAGTAGACAGCATGCATTGTGGACACCGCAACAGTGGGCTTGTGTGATGTTTTCCAACCAGTCCAGGTTTAGCTTGCAATTTGATTCTCGCCGGACTTTCATATGGAGAGCTCCAGGTACCAGTTACCACCAAGAAAACATCATTTAATGACACCGTTACGGTGGTGCAGGAGTGCTCGTTTGGGGTGAAATTATTCTGGGTTCCAGTTAACTGACCTGCATGTTCAAATTGGAATCATGACAAGCCAAATCTATCAGGACGTCATTCTGGAATAACATGTACGTTTGTTTCGGCGTGACACAGCACACAATTGGTGTTTATGGATGACAAAGCCCGTCCTCACCGTGCAAACATCGTAAGCGAAAGCCTTCAATCGGAGGATACCACCCGTATGGACTGGCCATCCAGTAGAGCACATGTGGGACATGCTTGGCCGACGAGTTGCAGCCCGTCAACCTCCTTCTACATGTCTACCGGAACTTCGGAGAGCATTGCTTTTTGAGTGGTGTAATATCCCCTAAGATCAGATCGATAATTTGATACTCAGCCTGCCTAGGCGTTGTACGGACTGTATTGCATCGTCTGGGAGACATACAATGTATTACATGTATTAACACATGTAATATTGGTTTTTTGTAAACAGGTTTTTTTGGTAATTTGCTCCAGGGAGAAAAAATTGCTAATTTTTTTAATAATATCAAACATATAACATCTTTTTTCGCTTTTTACCTTTTGTTTAATAAATAAGCTTTGCAAATAAGTCAAATTTGTTTTGCTTTTAACTCTTCCTTTGCGTGATTTTGCATTATCCTTAATTTATGGACATGAGTGTAATACAATTCAGGCTTAATTGTCTCAGTGCACGATAGAAGCAAGACAAAATTTAACAAAAAAACTTGTCTTTCATCACCAATCTCATGATACATAGCCAATAATGTACAGCAGATGCTATTAAACTAGGCAAAAATTATACTTTACTTATTCCAAGAAATTTCAGTTAATATAGAGGATTGTAAGTAATTACTTAAGTACCTTAAGTAATCTTCTAATCACCTTGATTCCTTTCTCATTTTCTTAACATTACTAGTGCATACTCAACATTAATGCATTCATTAGTCTTTGAATTCAAAACATTCTCTCTTCACATTTTGTCCACTTTCATAACAGCGATGAGTGTCATCAATTGCCAGTCATCCCTAACTCTTTATAATCAAAGCGATCAACATTCATTGCACAAATAAGATAATTTTTGTAAGATTTCCACCAAGGTCTACTCTTTTAAATCTCTAATTAATGAGGTTCTCCTATGTCATTTTAATGTTTTCCAAAAAAATATAGTACTTTAGGTTATCTTTTCCTTACTGGAAGATTTTTATCTTCAAACTGTCATTCATAGCCTTTTGGAAACACAATAAGTATTTTCAGGATTGGTTTTTATTGTGATTTGTAGCTGCTCTGTGGTAATACTAATTCCAGATTTTTATCTTCAAACTGTCATTCAGAGCCTTTTGGAAACACAATAAGTATTTTCAGGATTGGTTTTTATTGTGATTTGTAGCTGCTCTGTGGTAATACTAATTCCAGATTTTCTTAAGTATGCCTGTATTTAAAAAACTTGGATTATACTCTGTGATTACATATTGGTGGTATTAAATCATATTCATTTCTGCTGACTCAGCATCATTTTAGTTTCCATTTTGACAATTTTTTAACTCCTAATTGTTGAATAATCCCTTACACATAACACTAATTTATGTGTTAATACATTCAATAATTACACATAAATCCCACCATATTTTCATGACATATTGTCACTATTTTTTTCTAAGTTCTGAGCATTTTACATAAATGCAATTGTAAATTTTTAGTTTTAAAACAATTTTCTTTTTCTTACTTGAGTCCATAATTTCCAATAAGTAGGCAATGGCTCCACTCCTTTAAATCTGGTAAGTACTAGTACAATTTATTATTTTTCCTAGCCTTTGTCAAAACATTATTTTGGTATTCAACATTTACCATGTAATTTTATTCAATTTATCTTAATTTATAAATTTTAATTACAAAATTTTTAGATTACAGATTTTCTCATACAGAACTACATGAATAAAGACAATAATAAAAACATAAGAACAGATAAAAACAATAAAAACCATCGCCAGACTAAACTTAAAATATGATGTATCAAATTCAAATTCTTTGTATTTAATACTTTGCATTACACATCTGACAGAAATTTTAAATTTTATAAACTTTAATAAATTTTAAGTTACCAAATAAAATCAAAATCCATAGTAATTAGAATATTATGAATTCAATTCAAATCTAACATTACAGGCACTTGAAAACCAGAACATACGGATCACAAACCTGCTTAGCGTGCATTCGAGCTTCATAATAAGGTCTAGCTTTTTCAACACATGAGCCCAACTTCTTAGCTAATTGATTCACTCGCAAAGAAGACTCACTCAGTAACAGCCTAAAATTAGATCTTGCTTCCTAATAATAAATAAACAAAAATTGCAAATATATAGCTCCCTAATGAGTTACAAATTTTCAGTTGAAGAATACAGCAAAAACAGCCAATTTTTAATTGAGAAATTAAGTAAAATCCAAATCTTAGATTAACGCTAATTTTAGGAAAAAGATCTATGAATTTCAAAAGACTACGACAAATGCCAATCTAATTTTTTAAATATTCTGTCATGATTCTACAATTTTTTTATTATAATTATAAAAAAGAAGGAACATAAAATGCTATCTACTGAGCATCAAGAGACTTAAAAAATAGAATGTATGACAAAGACTGTATTAAAAATTTGTAGGATGGGGCAACAATTTTTAAATCAAGCAATTCACAGATTTTGATAAATGTGGGAAATTTCACAGAAGTCTGACTTAGCAAATAAATTTTTCACAACTCTACTAGAAGAAAAATTAAGTGATTAACAACAGCTTTATTAAATTTATCATTTTATTAATTTTTCCTTGCCTGACAGAAGATTCTTGTTCCTTAATACAAGATTTCAATATTCAGTTTCACCAATGTAATAAGATAAATCACACTAAAATCTCTAAAAATTCAAACATTTTATACTGTGTTGTGAATAAAAACATAATAGAATTAACAGATGTTAAAATACCTTAGAAATTGAATTCATGAAATACATGGGCAAATTTGTAATTAACAGAAAGGACATATCAGATGACATGATAATTGCACTTGTTTTTGAACGAATAGTGTCTATAATGGTAAAGAGAAAGTTTTTAAGTACATACTGACAACAAAAGAGGGAAAAGCTCTGTCAAGTAACTTCAATCCTGAGCAACAGAAGGTAATGAAAATCAAACATTAAGGGAAGGAAAGACAAAACAGAACTTTCCTTCCCTCAATGTTTGATTTTGAAAGCTTTTCTGTTCAGCAGAGTGACAACCTGGTTATCGGGTGTGATGAGATCAAATTTGTTGCACGTTATTAAAATACGATCAAAGGACAGAAAATTAGAGATTCTATTTGAAGAAGAAAAAGTAACAGCAGATCAATGAATTCATAATTGATAATAATTCATATCTGTTAAATTATCTTCATCATATAAAAAGCAAAGGTAACTATTAAAAGGCACTGGAAACCAGAAATACGAAATGGTTTTCAAGAATTTGCTTTAAAACAGCACATGTAAAAATTAGCAGGAAGTAAAATATCTCCGATTTGACAAAGTTTAGCGAGGGATACAATGTCCCCACTTTTCAGTGCACATGAAATGAAATTTTAAGTCCAGTTTCAGCACATTTCAGCTTTAACACTGGACACATTAGGAAATGATTTTAAACTAAAATACAGCAGAAATGAATTGTGAGTGTTAATGTTTAGTTTGCAAATTCAAATCAAATAAATACTGAAGAAATATCTTTATAGACATATAAACAATCAAATTAATACACAACTTTATCAACAATAACTATACAATAATGAAAAAAAAATGAATCATTTAAAATCAAACTTTCCCACAATTAGATTCGGCCTAATGTTGAATTTTACCTAATTCTGAGCTACTATTTCTATGTCATAATGATGAATTTATAATCTACTACACAGGAATAAAATAAGAACATGTAAATGATTGGTGTTTGGGTTAATACAACCAACTAGGAACAGCTACGTTAAAAGAAGTACAAGGTAACGAAAAACATTCCTGTCATTTATGACTATCAGAAACAGACATACATACAGCTTAAGACACTCAACATTAGGTCTTGAAGAAATTTCCATCCACATCCAACACCCTTTGCCCAAGTTCCTGCACTTGTGCTGTACCCTGGTAGTAAAGCTTGAGGATTTGGGATGCAAAGAAATCAAAATGCATGTTGCAGATCAATTCAATCTTAAAGGATTTCCAACAGAGGTGGTTATCAAAGGAATGAAACGAGTGATAATTTGTAAGCATTAGGTCCAGGAAGCAGTGTCTCCTAGCCAAGTTCTCAAATTAGTATCCCTGCTCATCCTTACCGTGTATGGTCTTGCACTGTTGTGAAGGTACAACACATCCTGGCATTTAACCGATGTTGGCTCCTTGCAATTCATGTTGCATCTGTTACAACTGCTTAGAGTACAGCCCTCAGTGATAGTGTGGTCTATTGGCAGTATTACCACTTGGCAACCAATCCCCCCAGATAGCATGTTCTCGAATGTGTGCAATGGTAGTCTCGAAGTATAAGGCACAGAATCACAAGGTGACAATCAATGTGTTTTATGCTTAGGAGTATCATACTGGACCCACTTTTTGTCACTCATGATTATTTGACCAAATAAGGGTGTACTGCAGTGCTGAGACAGCAATGATAAACAGACTGTCACTTGCTGTTTCTCACTGGCTGCTAACAATACGTAGCATACCCAATTGTTCCATTTTATATACCTTTCCTATGCAATGCAGGAGAAGTTTGACTGTTTCCTCAGAAATCTGGAAGTGTTAAGCAAGTTCACCACCTGTCTGACTGCTGTCTTCCTCTACACCTGCTTTCAGAACCTTGTTATCCAAAACCTGTAGTGATCTACCTGTAGTGATCTAGTTCATCACAAAGGCTCAGATCTCCCAACCTGAACTTCTGGAACCAATGCTTGGCAGTGCATTCATTTACGACATGCTCCCCAAATGCTTAACATAATCAGCAAATTGACGTGGCTGCTGACAGGTCTAACTTAAAAGTCATACAGCAAACTGATAATGAGCTGCTTTGATACCTCCATTTCTGTTATACATTGGACAGACTGTGATTGTTGTATGTATACAATGTGCCTATATAGTGCATGTCAGTGGTTACACTAATCCTCCAAGGCTTTTCTGATGAGAGAGTCTCTTTGTTCAATTTCTGCTTCTTCAAATGGAACACAAAAAAACAAGAACTTTTTTGATTACTTTGTAGTAGAATTCAAATGAGTAAGCACAGCAAAACATAGTGCCATTTTAAAATGAGAAATACTGTTATTGAAAAGCCATATAAAATACTAAAATGCTAATTCTTAAAAGATGTAAATGATACTTCAAGAATCCTGCCTGATTTAATGAAAAATAAAGAAAGAAAACTAATGATATAAAATGGCAGCTCAGTAGATGCATTTCTGAACACAGACATTAAACCTATCAAATAACTACACCACCAAAAAATTAAGAAGCTAATTCTGCTGTAGAAAACCTACATTATTAATAATATATTCTTTATCTCAATGAATATTAAATTCAGACTGAAACTATTAAGCATAATACATATCATTAACAGTGAATGAAGTGTTTGTTTTACATGAGATCTGGGCAATGGTATTCTGCAACCGCTTTATAAAAAATTATAACAAAAGCAAAATCATCATCAGTTTTAAAAACATCATGTTCTTTACATAAGAAACTCGCAAGAAATAAGAATCAGCTCATGCTACAAACTGTGACTCTTAAGTTGACATTGTCATGTTTTACATTACAATAAAAGCAAAATTAAATAAAACACACACATTGATAATTTTAAATCTGATATACATCACTGCTATATAATTTATATAGTACTGACATCACAAAATCCTCTCATAGGGTAATATGTCAATGAAGCCAAATGAAACTGTTTTTGACCATGAAAAATGTTTCAAAAAATACACAGCATATTATTACTCAATGAAACATTACCCAGATGGCTATTTTTCAAAGAAATATATGATTTCACCTAACCTTCTCTCATAATAGAAATCTGAAAATTCAAGCTGTTAAAAATGTGTATCAAATTTATCACATGATGAATATCATACAGTTTAAAATTACAAAATAGGTTGTCTCACAGATAAACCCATTACAACTGCTTCAATTTATCTCTGTGCATAAGATACTTATCTGCTGTTAAATTTTTGAAGATCACAGTCTGATAATGTAGAATACCACGTATATACCTAAAACTATTTTTAAAATTATTTATTATACTGTACAAAGTTTTTAATACGCCGGATTAGGGGTTTTTCCGGATTATAGATCATCAGTTTAAATCTGGTAAGATAGAATGCAGAAATTATAAAATTAAAAATATGAAACCGTAATTTATGAAATAAAGAACAATTATGATCTACAGGGTATCAAAATTTACGAAAAAGAAGGTTAATATTCATTTGTTTACTTTATTAAACATTTTTTCAATGTAAGTTGTTTAAGATGCTTCCACAAAAAATTCAAAAAGGTCCTTTTTCTTGTGTCATATATAGTGGACTTTCCAATGCCATACTTCTCGCATAATTTTGAGACGGATAAGCCTTTATCTATTTTTTGCAGCAATTCCACTTTTTGTTTAATGGACATCGAAACATGCTTTCGCTTTGTAGATCCTTTGGCAGCTCCACAATTGGAAATTCTTTTTGACATAATCAAAAGCTCAAGCTTAAATTTTATAAAATTGTTCAAACAGTCTGCAAAAAATAATAAGCCGGATCCAATTAGAGGATTAAGGAACAGCGCAATCTGCAACATTAACTGAAATGCCTTAGATAATTTTAGCCTAGCTTATATCGTCCATTATACATTAAACGCACATGCGTTTACACATGGCCATAAAGTTTGTAGCTTTGAGGTCCGGATTATAGATCATTCTGGATTATGGACATCCGTATTACAGACTTTGTACTGTATTACCCAACATGCAAATGTTGAAAAACTTCCAAATGTTTATATAACACAATAATCATTGATGAAATTTATTGAAGAAATATTTACTAAATTATTTAAGAAATTTATCTTATTTCAGAAATCTCTATTACTTGGAAAATTCTTAATACAAAATCATGAAATTAGCTACAACTATCAATTCAATTACAGAAAAACATTTTATTTATTTATTTTGCATATTTAAGAATAACTACTTTAATTCTAGGTTAAAAAAATGTGTACCGTTTGGGCCTTAGTGATATAACCTATTCATTTCGTAAGTATTATTCCTAATTATTGAGGTGTTTTCATGTTAAAAGTTTTCTT